TGATTCGACCTCCATGTTAGGTCAGTCAGGTCCAGCCTTCTCCTAGTGGGAATCAGCAAGAATCAAGGAGTGAAAGGGGCCCTATGAGGCACTGAGGGCTGGTGAGAAAGCCATGAAGCGGGCAATGTGGGTTTGAGGAAATCTCTGTCAGGAGAAGAGTGTCCAGGGGCTGCCCGGGAGAGCACATTGTACCACAGTGTACCCTGTTCTAGGAAACAGCCAGGGCCGTTTTGATGCCAGGATGCGGGATGGGGCGAGGAGCAGTTAGATCTCTGAGGGGACCCAGGTGTGGGCTATCATTAACCTTCTGAACCATCGAGTTAATTCGAGTATGATTTGTTATGAAATGGTCATACTTGAGCAAGGTCTGTAGTGGGAACTTGCAGTGGAGGAAGTCAGTTTACTGTTCATTCACTGTGTATTTCATTACACGCAATTCGGTGCATGTAGCTAAAATCTTAATCTTTTTAAAAATATTTTCAGTTATCTTTCAATATAAAGAGGATTAAAATCACTCCCATTATTAGGCAAGAGAAGGAAAACAGGTGCTTCGCTTGTGTTATAAAGTCATATCATAAAATACTCTTCTGACCACTATGTTTTCAGTAATAAGGAATTTTTCCCTGACAAGAAACAATTAATGTTTTAATTTCTAATTTCAAAACTTCATGATTCTTAGGGAGAATATAAATGATTCACACAATCAGTGTGGGTTGTTCAATTTCTCCTTGTTTCTCCAATGTACCCAAACCCACAGAATAACCTGTTATATGCAGTAATTTTCCTTTTTTTTATCAGAGGATTCAGCCTCCTGTCTGAAGGTGTCAAAATGTCAGAAATGGAGAAATGCCACGTTGGGAAAAGTCTATGCTTATTCTGACATTACTTCCACAGAGAAAAATTACTTTATAGGAAATATTTAACTACATAAATTTACCACTGGTATATATTTCAGACATAATAAGAACTAGAGTGACTTTTCTAGAATAAAACCTGTTAAGTGTTTAAGTAGGCAAGAATGAAAACAGGTGCTTCGCACATGTTATATAGTCATAAAATACTCTTCTGACCACTTGGTACCTTGGAGCCAGGGGAAAAGGTGGGTTTGCCATCTTGTTTATGCTTTCTGATAGGGGTTGTAGGCCTCAATGGTCATACAGGGGCTGGGCATCAAACCCAGATCAGCTGTGTGCAAGGTAAGTGCCTGACTTGCTGTACTGTGACTCGGACATAAAGCTATTTTTGAATAAGTTATCTGCTCAGCCTGGTGCAGTGCTTAGGCTGGCGGTGCCAGGGACTAAATCTGGGCCTTTTTTATGCCACCATTTGAGCTGCCTCCCCCAAAGGTCCCATGCTACTCTTTTACATCAAATGAAAACTCTGGGAAGGCAGGGAACGTCCAATTTTGGTGTTTCCCTTTAAACTCTGAGCACTGGGCACTGAGTCTGTGGTTGAGGACAATGCCTTTTCATACAAGAGATTCCAGCAGCATGGATATGTAGCATTTTGGGAATGTGATAAATAGATTAATCAGGAAAGATTTAGCATGGAGAAGTAGAACAATAAAAATTTTTAATTTTGGATGGCTTAATTACCATGTGTGACTTATTTTTTAATTTCCTCTGAACAATGCTAGCATTCCTGTTTGCTCAAGCAAGCAGACCAGATCAAAACTTGTTTCCATGATCTGACTTGGTCTGGTGGACCTTGCAGAAACAGCCCGAGGAATCATTTCAATTTGGGCACTTTCGGTAATGCATGAGCCGGAGCCGGCTGGCGAGGGCCCTAACATGCCCTAATGCTGATTTGCTGTTTGCCTGGGGCAGGCAGTCTGTGAGCAAGCTAGACAGATGGGCATATGCAGCCCTCGCCACCCTCCATCCCCTCTTTGCTAACCCAGAGACTGGCCAGCTGGAGTGGACCCCAAGAAACCGATTTCTAAGAGCTGGTGCAGGAATCTTAACTGAAAACATAATCATGGTGTTTCACTAATAAAAATTCGAAAAAAAAAAACATAGTTGGTGATGTGCTGGGTTCATTAGTGGAGTACTAAGAGAATATCTGATCTTTATATAACTAGGAACTATGACATGCACTAGAAATTTCTAATCTTCCATACAAAGTAGGGGCTTAGGTCATGGCCTTACCTCAGGATATACGCTCAAGTTATTTTTTTTTTTAAACTTGTTTTTTCACTGAGATTCTGTGGTTTACCAGACTGCTGCTGATTTCTCAGGCACATCATTTCATGGCCAGTGTTCCCTGCTCCCATTTTAAGAAAATTTCCCCTGCCAACTTTTTCCTTCTTGAGCTTTCTCTGGAAAAGGTCTAGTCTAGCTGAAGCATTTAAAAACTTTTGTGTTGGTGTACTGAGCATTGCTAGGTGCTGGGCATTCTTAGTGCTCTGCTGTTCTGGCCTAGATTGCTGGGGTGGACGCTGTCTCCACTTCTCCACACCAGCAGCTGTTTTCAGTCTCAGCCTTCAGGGATCCAGAAGGATCTCAAGACACTGGCAAATGTCCATCAGGGGCATAAATAGCCCCAATAGCCAACCCAAAGTTTGGAGTATTTCTCTGCTTTTCTAGGGAAGGACCACAGGAAGGAAATCCGGTGAGAAGGGGGACATACAGGTCCGGAGGAGGTGAATAGTATTGTTTTATTCATGTTTTAATGAAGCTCATTCAAGCAAAGTGGAATTTGAATCCCTCGTGGATAGTTGGATATCTCTAGGTTGTCTCCATGCCTGATGCTCTTGGCATATAGTGAAAAAGGCAATCAGTGACTTCCTTATATAGACAACAATTCCGGGAAAATCTCAGTAAGTTATTAAAAGAAATCAGGAAGAACATGGAGTCTGGTGATTCAGCTTGTCACCTCCCAGTGGTATTTCCTCCAGGGTTAAACAGTTCTGAGCCTAGTTCCCTTCTTTATAGGAAGTAACAGGGAGTTTGACCTCTGAGTTGGTGAAGTTCTAGTGCTTGTTTAGAGTGGTAGCCTTCTCAGGATTTCTCTAATGACCAAACATTTCTCCCTAGTCCATCAAGCGTACCAGTCGCACAATGAGTTATTGTGCAGCTATTTGAAAATTTAATGTTTTGCAGTTCGCAGCAAGTTGTATAGAAATGGAAGGTGTTGCTGAAGTGACCAACTCACTTCTCTGCACTATCCAGAAAAACTGAGTCAGGGAACAAACACTATAGAAGGATGACCCTTGGCCTCAGATTACACACCTGAGATCTCTCAGCAGTGGGGGAAAGAAAGAGTTGAAACTATGGCAGGAGGTTTTTTGGGGTTGCTTTTGTGGTGGTGAATGTGCAGTAACGTTCATACAACCAAACCATAAATTTACCATTATTGGAACCATGTGTAAAGGGTTAACATTATTAAACCCCTACCGGATCTGAGCTGTGTGTGGTAGAATTTATCAGGAATGTGAGACTGTCTTGTGAGCTAGTTTATGAAACAGGAAAAACACTCTCTGGGCTGACCTCAGGCCAGCATCCCAGGGAGGCTTTGTCTTGTGCATTTCAGGGCTGCCTAGGCACAAACTTCCTGCTTTCTAGATATGAGGTATTTCCCGGAAGTGGGTGGGCAGGAGACAGGTGGCCAATTCCAGGAAGGGAGTGAATTGTACTTAAAGTGAACCAGTCGTGAGAAGGGACTGAGATGTATATCAAATACTTGGAGCTTATTCTGGGAAAGGAGCCGTGGGTCCACATCCAGAAATCGGAGTGACAGGAGATACATAGACTCTTAGAGCCGACTCTGAGAGCTGGTCTCTCTGCACGACCCAAAAATGAGCCACGAGTCAGCAACAGTGGGGCCTGGCTTGAGTTTCCTGGGCACGGCAGCTGGGACTAGCAGGGACACCCCAGAATGTCGGGCATCCCAGGAATGGGAATTGAGTCATGTTTTTAGGGTGCTTATGCTGGACCTCCTCATAGTGCACCTGTGACTAAAGGCATCTAAGGAAAGTCGTGTAGGCTGAAGAATGATTCCATGGACACCTGAACTTCCACCCCGAGTCAAGGCCAACTATACATACATACATACATACATACATATGTATATGTATATATATGCATATATGTGTATATATATGTATATATTCTGAAGTCTCTGTTCCCCAGTGAGAGTGCCTTTTATTCCCACATTACCATTATGCATGGTAATAAATGATACTTTGCCTATACTGTGCCACCTGAGGGTGAGATTCCTACAGCTCTCTCCCAGTGTTACCCACACCCTGCTAGAACAGAATATACCACATGTTCACCTTTAGATTCTGTTAATTTAGTGTAGACTGTTACTGTTATAGTATTTAAATTTGTATAAACTGTGTTACAGAATCCTTCTGGGCAGGAACCTCTGACCAGACTATCAGAAAGTGAAGTAGACAGCACTAAATTTCATCTTCAGGGTTGTCCTTTGATGTGTCTTGACTGACTGACACTCAAGCGACGTAGTTTCTTTTAATAATTTTAATACAGTTAATGTAGGGCAATTTAAGATACTTAATGTTGCCACTTTATACTGTAGGGCAAATGGATGATAACTAGGTGTGAATATTCTGCAGTTAGGAAATAAATATGGAACTTTTATCATAGAAAAATCTAATATTTAACAAAACAAATGAAAGTATATCGTGCTTAATTGTGCTTAATGCTGTGAAGGGAAAAATATTATTTTTTGTGAGAATAACTGGAGGGAGAATAATATACTTTCCATGTATAATAGCATATTGTTACAATCTGATTTAATATGTAACAACTACTTTCATGTAGCAAATTAAACATTTTTCCCTAGTCATTTACTTATTTATTCCACAGCATCTATGTTCATTGGTACTAACTGTGATTGGTTATTGAGGTCACAAAAATGGCAAGACCACATCTCATCTTTAAGATGCTGATGATCTGATGGTTTGATAATTATAAATCCCTGAATGAGCAACATGTCAGGTGAAAATGTAAACGTGTCTTCTTCCTGTTCTTTTCCAGATGAGGATCGGCATTCACTCGGGCTCTGTGCTGGCCGGAGTTGTCGGGGTGAGGATGCCTCGATATTGCCTCTTTGGAAACAACGTCACTCTGGCAAGCAAATTCGAATCAGGAAGTCATCCTCGGCGCATCAATGTCAGCCCAACCACATACCAGTAAGTGTTCCCTGGCCTTCTCCCTTGGGCATTGCCATGAGCTGACAGCATGTCACTTGTTAAGACCCAGTACTTGTTATTGGTCCTGTCATTCTCTCAGATCAGGAGTGGAAGCCACCTCAGGGGAAAGAGAGCGATTGTGACAGACTTTTCCTTGCCCCTGATAGTGCAGTCATCTGGTTCGACTGAGAGGGAAAGAGATTTGTCAGAAGACTGAGAAACTTTCTCAAGACTGCGGGCTGAGGAGAAATTCCTGTGAAGGAGAGTAACCCTCGCTAGGTCCTGTGCCCATGCTCTCCTATGTTCCATGTTTATGGGGCAGTTCAGACTTCTATCTTCCGTGGAAACTCCATTTCAATACCTGTTGTGCACACTGGGTCAGCTGTGGGAGGGGGGCACGCCCTGGGCTTAGGTGATAACCAGTAAAGGACAGTCTTCCTGTCACACAGGTCAGTGCATCTGGGAGCTACCTCTTGATGATTCACCATCTTTTCCATGGTCCCAGGGTTGGCCTTTGCCTTTGCTGCTCGATAATATCTGAGGGTTGAATCATTTCAGCCACCGCTGCTGCTGGGACAGTCTGTTGTCTTCCTCGTCCAGTACTAAGAAAACCCCAATGGGAACAACAGACAGGCACACTAGATTCCAAAAGGTGCTTTTTGATTTCATGCCAGGGAAGTTCTTGGTCTGTTCTTAGAACAACTTCATATGCTGCTCCCTCTTTTCGTTCTTTTAGCAAATACGGGCTGAGAACCTACCACTGCAAGCACTGATGGACACTAACTTTCTAAGGAAGGACAGTGTATCTGTGACCTTTGCCTTCATGGCCTCAACCACAGACTTGATCAGACATGTACCTGAGTCAATTAATAGTCATAGATTAGTGCTGAGCCCAGGAATCCAGGTCGGAGTACTGGGACAAGGGGAGAGTGAAACTGAAATGAAACCAGAGAAAGTGAAGTAAGAAGTTGAGAAAACATATTAAGGGTGTGTGTGTGTGTGTGTGTGTGTGTGTGTGTGTGTGTGTGTGTGTGTGTCTGTGTCTGTGTCTGTGTGTGTCTGTGTGTGTGTGTTTGCCTAACTTAAGAGTAATTAAGTATGTTAAAGAGTTTTGAGGAGTGAGTAGGCCAGATCTGCACTTGACAAAATTTCCCAGAGTGTAGCTCAGAGAACAGGTCAAAGCCTGGGGAGACAGCCATGGGTGGGTGGGATGCCAGTCTCAGTCTCCATTCCCGTGAGGGCAGCCTCAAGTCCAGGAAGTTGTCTTCCCACAGTGGCACGCTCGGAGGGCTGCCACCTACTCTCACTAGAGTGTCATTTGAAGAAACACACCTTAAACTCAGGTCTTGGCTCTCAGTGGGATCAGGCTTCCAGATTCCAGGCCGCTTTTCTACCAGAGCACTTTCTGTTCATGTCTACCTTAGTCTCTGTGGGCATGGGGACCAGCTATGCTGCATGACAGCTAGGAACCAGCAAGCCTGGCGCACCCATCTGGGATACTGAGACATTCTCTTTGAGGAGAAAAAAATGGTACTTTCTTACAGCAAAATGGAGCTAAATCATGAGAGCTTGAAATTGCCAATTTCCTTTCCTGAATTAGTTTAGCATGTCCAATATGGTCTATCTTTAAAACTTCAGAGAGGTATTTATTCGAAGAAATTGAGTATATATGTATATATTTGTATTCTGGATCACTTCTGGCAGGCTGGTCGGAGGCCATATGGGATACCTGTGATTGAACCGAGGTCAGTTACGTGCAAGGCAAGCACCTTACCTGCTGTATTATCTCTCTGGCCCCCAAATTAAAATCATGTTGAGTAATTCATTTCAAATATTTTCAAAGAATTTTTTAAAGGAGATGGTGGAACATCCTTGCATTTTAATGTTTTCTGCTTTCCCCATAAATATCCAGAAGTTGGATAACTAGATCATAAGTAAATTTCTGTTTTTAGTTTTTACAAGTGCCAATGTGTACTGTCACTCTGGCACCATTTTTTAGTTTTTAAATACTCTTCATAATGCTTTCATTAATGGCTCTACCAGCTTAACTGTTTAACCCTTGTTGTTTCTTGTCTGGGGTGGGGGGGGGCGGTGCAGGGGAGAGGGGACTAGCAATTCTTATGGATATGAGATGCTATCGCATTGTTGATTTTTATTTCCTAATAAGAGAAGATGACCATCTTTACATGAGCCTAATTACCAATTTTTACATTCAGTGGAGAAGTGTCTGTTTGCCCAGTTTTTAATCATGTTATTTTTTTTATGGTTGATTTTTTTTCTCCTTGCCACTATAGTTGAGTCTTCAAACATCTTTGGGACCAATGTCAAGGAATAATCACTTAGGTTTTCTCTGCAGTTTATGGTCTTGGGTCTAAACCTGAGACTTTAGCAATTATTGTTGTGTGTGGTGTTGGTGATCTAGTTTCATTCTTTGGTTTTCCCATTATCACTTATTGAAGAGACTTACCTTGCTGCTTTTTATAGGCTCATGGCTGCTTTTTCATAAATTCATGTCTTTGGGTACATGTCTTTATTCTAATGCTATATTCTGCTTTAATTGCTTCATAGTTTCAATGAAATCACGGAGCATAATACCTTTATATTTCGATTTGGGGCCAACATCTGACTGTACTCAGGAATCACTCCTAGCAGGGCTTGAGGGACTGGATTAAACCTGGGTCTGTCTTATAGAAGGCAAGCGCCAACCCACTACACTATCTCTCCAGTTCAACTGTTCCTTTATTTTTGTTCTTTCAGGAGGTATTTTTGTTAAAGTTTTGTGAAGAATGCAGTTAATATTTTTCTGGGGAGTATATTGAGATGTGGCACCACATCTCCAAAGCATATCATCAAAGTCATCAGGAAGGTAGACTGGCTATCCAGAATTTCACAGTTTATTTGGGAGGTCACAGTGTGCAAAGCCTTAACCCCTGGCCTTGCTCACTGACCCTTTTTAGTTTGTTGAGACATGCATGAAAGAGGAGGATGCTCTTGGTGTATATTTTTCTTTTAAAAATGGTAAGCAGATAATATGTAATTATACAGGCAATGGGATAGATCAAGAGTTAGAATACTGACAGTTCCTTAATGCGGGGGAAGACAGAAAATCTACAGGAAATTACAAAATAGTAAAGCTCTAGATCTATTATTTACTGCCCTGTCACCCTTTTAAATGACTTTATTGATTTTATCACTTACAAAGAAAGGTAATCAGTAAAGACAAATGACTTAATAGGAGACCAAAGGAGAACTTGAATAATTCACCACAAGAATTAATGTTTAATATTACTATTACTTTAATTCTGAGTCTCTCAGAATCAGAAAGACACTAGGCATTCTTTTTTTTTTTTATATTTATTTATTGAATCACTGTGGGAAAGGTTACAAAGCTTTCAGGTTTATGTCTCAGTCATGCAAATATCAAAAACATTTCCCTTTACCAATACTTATTTTTTACCATGAAGAACCCCAATAAAACCCCACCCCCCACCCCTCCCCGTCCCTGTGAGGCAGATGAATTCTAGTTAACACTCTATCTGCTTTGATTAGATTCATTGTTTCAATAAAAGATTCACCACTATTATTTAGAGTTTACCCCCCCCCCAAATCAGACATGCTGAAAAAGCATTGTGAAGTGATTTGCTTTCTACAGCTGGGTTCAAGAATTAAATGTTGGTTTTGGATTTCTGCTATTTTACCTATTGACCCTGGAAGTATTTCTACTGAAAGTCAGATAGTTAAGAAATTGGTTTCTGTGTTCTGGAGTCGTGGCCGTGCTGGAGAGCCGCTCGCGGGGGGCAACCGGTGGCCTCGGTAGGGCGTGAAGGGCGGACCGAAACGCCCCCCTTCCCATGAGGTTTTAGTCGCCCCCACACTCCCGGCTCATACCTGCTGTCCACAAGGCTCCCATGTGGCCGCCATCTTTCTTTCCAGAGAGAAGAGGGCGAATGGGGCAACACCCTTTCCCCTCCGGCAGACTTGATGGCCTGGATTAACGCATAGTCCTTTCACTTTTCTGCTCCAAGCTGCTGGGTTCTGCATTAAGTCCTTGTGCTTCTGGGGCCGTGGCTGTGCTGGAGAGCCGCTCGTGGGGGGCAACTGGTGACCTCGGTAGGGCGTGAAGGACGGACCGGAACGCCCCCCTTCCCATGAGGTTTTAGTCGCCCCCACACCCCCGGCTCATACCTGCTGTCCACAAGGCTCCCATGTGGCCGCCATCTTTCTTTCCAGAGGGAGGAGGGCAGAAGGGACCAACACCCTTTCCCCTCTGGGCAGAAATGATTGCCTGGATTAACGCATAGTCCTTTCACTTTTCTGCTCCAAGCTGCTAGGTTCTGCATTAAGCCCTTGTGCTTCTGGGGCTGTGGCCGTGCTGGAGAGCTGCTCGTGGGGGGCAACTGGTGACCTCGGTAGGGCGTGAAGGACGGACCGGAACGCCCCCCTTCCCATGAGGTTTTAGTCGCCCCCACACTCCCGGCTCATACCTGCTGTCCACAAGGCTCCCATGTGGCCGCCATCTTTCTTTCCAGAGAGGAGAGGGCGAATGGGGCAACACCCTTTCCCCTCCGGCAGACTTGATGGCCTGGATCAATGCATAGTCCGTTCACTTTTCTGCTCCAAGCTGCTGGGTTCTGCATTAAGTCCTTGTGCTTCTGGGGCCGTGGCTGTGCTGGAGAGCCGCTCGTGGGGGGCAACTGGTGACCTCGGTAGGGCGTGAAGGACGGACCGGAACGCCCCCCTTCCCATGAGGTTTTAGTCGCCCCCACACCCCCGGCTCATACCTGCTGTCCACAAGGCTCCCATGTGGCCGCCATCTTTCTTTCCAGAGGGAGGAGGGCAGAAGGGAGCAACACCCTTTCCCCTCTGGGCAGAAATGATTGCCTGGATTAACGCATAGTCCTTTCACTTTTCTGCTCCAAGCTGCTGGGTTCTGCATTAGGTCATTGTGCTTCTGGGGCTGTGGCCGTGCTGGAGAGCCGCTCGTGGGGGCAACTGGTGGC